AACCTGAGGCTTCAGGAACCACAGCAAAACCTGAGACCTAGCCCCCAGTGGCAGCACCTCTGACACCGGCTCTACCAGCAGCAGGGGCTGCATACTAGAACCCAGGCCCTTGACAGCAACAGTGACACCTGTGAACTCAGTGCCCCTGGTAAGACTGCTGCCAGCACCCCCAGATAATCCAGGAGCAGCAGTGCAGGTGGTGCACAGGGCAGCAGCACCCAAGCCCATGGCGAACCCATGAAGAGTGAGTGGGGGAACACAAGACCTGGGTGACCCCGGGAACAGCAGAGTGCATACAGCCTGGTGACCCCGGTGGCAACACCTGATACTGCAGCAACATCATAAGCAGCAAGGCACCAGCAACCTCAAAGGCACAAGCAGCACAAGGAGGGCACACGACACCTGTAGCAGAGGCAATGGAAGGTGGAAAGTGAAAGATCTCAAATACAACCAGAAGCAGCTCAGAACCAAAGTAACCAAAGCCTTACCCAAATACGAAAGGTGGTTACTACCAGAAATGTGCCAGCAGAGGATCCACTCATCGAACACCATGAAAAACTACAGTAACGCAGCAGAACAGAAGGAGAATGATAGCTCTCCAGAAACCAAACTTGAAGTCATAGATTACAATCTGACTGACAGAGAATTCAAAATAGCCGTCATAAAGAAACTCAATGAGTTATGAGAAAACTCAGAAAGACAGTTCAGTGAGCTTAGGAATAAAATTAATGAACAGAAGGAGTGCTTCACCAAAGAGATTGAAGCTCTAAAAAACACCAAACAGAAATTCTGGATATGAAGAACACAACTAATGAGATAAAAAAATAATGTAGAAAGCATAAAAAATAGAGCAGACCTTATGAAGGAGAGAATCAGTGAGCTTGAAGATAGAAACCTAGAAAAGATCCAGGTGGAAGAGGAGAGAGAAGTAAGATTTTTTAAAAATGAAGAAATTCTTCCAGAAATATCTGACTCAGTTAGGAAAAGTAACATAAGGATTATAGATATCCCAGAGAGAGAAGAGAGGAGAGAGCAGAGACCTGATTCAAAGAAATAGTGGCTGAGAACTTCCCAAACCTGGGGAAGGAACTGGACATACAAGTACATGAAGCTAATAGAACTCCTAATTACATCAATGCAAAAAGACCTTCTCCAAGGCATATAATATTAAAACTGTCAAAAATCAATGACAAAGAAAAAATATTCAGGGCAGCAAGGTGGAAGTAAATAACTACACAGGAACCCCCATTAGGCTTTCAGCAGATTTCAGCAGATAAAGAACTCATACAACTCAACAACAAAAAAACAAACAATCCGATCGAAAAATGGGCAAAGGATATGAACAGACATTTTCCCAAAGATATACAGATGGCCAACAGGCACGTGAAAAGATGTTCAACATCACTAATTTTTAGGGAAATGCAAATCAAAACTACAATGAGATATTACCTCACACCTATCAGAATGGCTATAATTAACAAGACAAGAAATAACAAGTGTTGGAGAAGATGTGGAGAAAAGAGGACCCTCATACACTCCTGGTGGGAATGCACTCTGGTGCAGCCACCATGGAAAACAGTATGGAGAGTTCTCAAAAAACTAAAAATAGACATACCATATGATCCAGCTATTCCACTACTGGATATTTATCCAAAGAATATGAAATCAACAATTCAAAAGGGTTCATGCACCCCTGTGTTGATTGCAGCATTATTCACAATAGCCAAGACATGGAAGCAACCCAAGTGCCCATCAATGGATGAATGGATGAAGAAGATGTGATATATATATATATATATATATCTCCACACAATGGAATACTACTTAGGCATAAAAAAGACCAAATCGTGCCATTTGCGACAACATGGATGGACCTTGAGGGTATCCTGCTAAGCAAAATAAGTCAGACACAGAAAGACAAATACCGTATGATCCCACACATATGTGGAAGATAAACAAATACATAGATAAGGAGAACAGATCAGTGGTTACCAGAGGAAAAGGGGGTCGGGGGAGGGCAAAAGGGGTAAAGGGGCACATATGCACGGTAATGGATAAAAACTAGACTATTGGTGGTGAACACGATGCAGTCTACACAGAAACTGCAATACAATAATGTACACCTGAAAGATACACAATGTTAAAAGCCAATATGACCTCAATAAAATAAAAAAATAAAATTAAAAGAATTAAAAAAGAGAGAAAACAAAGAATAAAAAAAAAAAACAGAGGATGGAGTCAGAGAAGGCCTCTCTGATAGGGGACACCAGAGCAGACACCTGAGGGAGGTGAGGGTCTGAGCCATGTGGATGTCTGGGGAAGGCATTGGTAGCTGTCGTGGGCCAGGTACTTTGCGGGGTTTTACGTGCATTACCTCACTGGGATTCTCATGTCCACTTTGTGAGGTAGGTGTTGCTATGTGCTATTTCACAAATGGCGAAGCGTGCTTGAAATTCCACTAGGTTTTAGGCAGTAATGCTGAGAATTCAGGGCCCTGACAGTCCCCTCCAGGGCCACCCAAGCGGACAAAACCCTTCAGGGACCTTTCAACTGTTTTCCTGTAACAGTCTGCATATAGCAGAGTCCCTGAGTAGGAAAGCCGGGTCCTGGTGGGAAACTCCAAAACGCCCAGAAGATTTTGGTTCCTCTTTTCAGTCTGGTTCTTCCTCAGCACGAGCATCTGGGCAGGGGACCTCACATAGGAACGATGAAAAGCCCATTGATGGCGTGTTGCTGACCTTTAGAGAGACACCCACACTTCTCCTCAGATGGCTGGACAAAAACTCCTTAAGAACCATCATGGAAATTAGCTCATTTTCAGTTAAGATTTCTCCATTGTCACCATATGTCAAAATCGGTTAGAAATCCTGGATTCTTTTTGGGTGGGAACAAACAGACTGGTGGGGAAAAACCCTATTATTTAGGACCCTAGATGAGTAAGCTGCTTTCTGTCATCGTGTCTGTCCGGCCCAAAGCAAGACCAGACATAACTCCTGTCAGGTATCTGACATAACCCCTGAGTGAGATGAAAGGGACCAGAGGGTAGAAAGGAGGGTGAGGGGAGGGAGACAGAGGAAAGGAAGTTCTTACAGACGTCCTGCTATGTACTAGGGACTTTTCTATTTATATCATTATGTTGAATTTAATTTTACAAGGATCCTGAGAGACAGGATCATACCCTTTTTATAGATGAGAAAACAGATTAAACAGTAAATGGCTGAGCTAGAACTAGAAACCAAGTCAGTAGGAAGCCATAGTCCATGCTCCTTCTACATATGATTTTGCTTTCATTGTATCCCTTTTTGAAGAGAGTTCGGGTTATTTAGCTATTATATGCTCCTCTCAAGTATATGTTTTCATTTCTTCCCTCGTTTCAGTTATATTCCCTAAAGCTGGGATTGGCAAGTTTTAGCACAATTGACAAAAGGGGTGCCTTAGATCATTCTGAATTACCTCACATTGCTAGGAAAGTACCCACCATCACAAAACTCTCTTCCTAAATGCTGTGGCGGGGCCACATCCAGTCTGACGGAGGTCTGGTGAGATGGAGAGGTGCTGGTGCCCCACTATCCTGCTGTCCAAAAAGAGAAAGTGCCTGGAAATGAGATCCTCAGACATGGACCTCCCCAAGGGACTGTGTGTGGCTCCAGGGCATACGGGGAGGGGAAGACACAGCATGGTAGCATTGGGTGGGCCGGGGAGAGGGCAGCTGTGAAAGATCTTGGGGCTTAGGGGGACTCTGCTTTTAGGTCAAGCACAGCATGGGAAAAGTGACTATGCCTTATGACCCAAAAAATCAGAAAATATAGTCTGACAAGGGATTTTGGTGCTACTGATGAGTACTTAGGAGCTACAAAGAGATGGAATTTGGATGCTGAAATGTTGGTATTTCTCGGATATACTGATGGGAAAATGGGCAGAATGTTTTAAGTGGGGACCCTCTAGCAAAACTAGACTTTAGGTCAGGTGATTGCAGATAGTCAAGAGAGCTAAAAACAGGATATAGATCCATTTAGGGTAGCTGAAGAGGGCATAAATGGTCCAGAGGTATAACCAAGCCTTGTCTAGTGGGGATGAGGGGAGTCATTTCAGCCTGAAGTCATGGGGTCAATCAGGCCTGGAAGGAAAAGAACTCTATTTTTCAAAGCAAAAGAGCTCAGTGGTGGGGCTGGCCTGGGGTGCAGGCAGTGTTGGCTTACTTATTCTTGAACTGGGGCCTAAAATTGGGGAAACCAGTAAACAAGGAGAATGGCCTGGAAAGCCTGGGCCAGAAAGTATAAAACTGGGGCAGTTTCCTTTCCCGGGCTTGGTTTCCTCATCTGTCAAATACAACCACTAAAATGAATGATCATGGAAGTCCCTTCGAGATCTCACGTTCCATAACTATGACTTCCATATCCACCTGGGGCTGAGCACATTGTCTACCCATAGTTGGCGCTCATATGTTAGTCTCCTCAAGTCCCTCTTCTAATGGGACTAGCGGACCTTCTCCCTTACTGACCATCCACAGATAAAGAAAATGTGGTATACTCTACATACAATAAATATATTATTCATTATCATCGTTATCATTCCTTAAAAAGGAAGGAGATGGTGGCACATGCTAAAACGTGGATGAACCTTGAGGACATTATGCTAAGTGAAAAAAGCCAGTCACTAAAAGACAAATATTGTCAGATTCCATTTATATGTAGTATCTAAAGTAGTCAAATTCATAGAAACAGAAAGTTGAGTGGTGGTTACCAGGGACTTCTGGGAGGAAGAAAGGGGGTCATATAATTGTACAGGGTTCCAGATTTGCCAGATGAAAAAGTTCCAGACATCTGTTTCACAACAATGTGAATATACTTTACACTACCGAACTGTTCACTAAAAAATCAAACTGAACTCTCTGATCACGCTTAGTCACTAGATACAACACCCTGAGTTCTGTTACTGCCAGCCCTGAATTCTTGTTTGTGCAGGGATCTGTATTTAATAAATATAAAATCTTGTTCTGTTTGCTTCTCCTTAGGCATCATCCAGGTAACCAAGACAGTGAAAGAAATAGCAATACTGTCCTGTGATTACAACATCTCCACCGATGAACTGAAGAGCGTTCGCGTCTACTGGCAAAAAGATAACGAAATGGTGCTGGCTGTCATTTTCGGAAAAGTACAGGTGTGGCCCAAGTATGAGAACCGCACCTTCACTGACATCACCAATAACCTGTCCATCGTGATCCTGGCTCTGCGCCTGTCGGACAATGGCACGTACACCTGTGTCATTCAGAAGAATGACCAAGGGTATTTCAGACTGGAACACCTGACTTCAGTGATGTTACTGGTCAGAGGTCAGTGGGATTTTCTGACCTACCGGCAGACTCTTGATGCCCTTAAAGACATACTCCTATTGATTTAGGTGGAAATTTTCCCGAAGCGGGATGTATCTCACTTCATTTCTTAAGGTTCAGTGAGTCTCTAGTTTTACAATAAACCCTAATTGATTTCTCAAGATGTCCTGGAAATACCTATTACTGTGCATTTCTTGCACTTTGATAATCTAAGTTCATGACCATCATCCTGGGGCACTACAGTGACCTGAAGTGCCTTCTGAATCGTAAGGGGACACATTTGATCTGACGTAGCTGCACTATTAACTGCACTGGACCCAGTAATATATTCTTGTGAAAGTATGTTGAAAGGTGTAAGAGCAATGCAGGCATAAGTATTTTTCAAATAGCATTGGAATGTCTATTGATCTGCCTACTGCACTATTATATTTATTGTATATTTGAAGCTCTCATCTAACAGTCATTCCTGCAAAGTTAGATGTTGGGGAGCTGGATGCATAATTTATGACCGCCAAGGAAAGAAAATTAATTCATGAATCAAAGTCCTATTTATACATCTGTGAAGGGCAAGCATTTCTTATCTTGGGTAGGAAGGAACCTGACCTAATCACAGGTGATAGGACTAGAGGATACTGACGAAGCCTGAGCCCCCTGTTGAGAAATTACAGCCCTGGGCCACTCCCTCATGCTTGAAATTCAAACACATTTCTTTTTCTTCCTGGGCACTTAAGCCTTTAGTGGAAACCAAACCTCTTAATAAGAGATAATGTTTAACCTTGATAACAGAATGTAAGTGGATGCTTAGTGAATTCTTCACTGTTCTTCCCTGGTTTGGTCTTTAGCTATGTTGAATCTTTAGCTGTAGCATCCACATCACACCTAACGCTTAGCAGATAAGCCAAAGTTACACGGAATTATCTTAAACCTCACTCTGTGTATTCCCTACTCCTGGAGAGAGCAAATGATTATATGGTGGTGGGATTTGAGGGGTTCTAAGAAACTCGCCTCCTCCAAAGTTCTGACCTGCATTGATTCCTGGAATTCCCACTATTATAGCCTCTCCTGCTAGTTTCAGCATTTTTCCCCCCACAAGATCCCTGTTAAAAATGAAAATGTGTTACCTGCGGGAGGTGGCACCCCAAACATATTAGCTTGTATTAGTTAATTACATTAGATATATAGTCAATCTTCTAAGAATACCCAGAGAGAAGTAGACTCAGGACGTGTACATTTTGATAGAAAGATAAAGAAGAAAATCCAGGAGGGAGAAGAGGCAGAGTTTCAGGCAGGGCCAGTCTAGTAGATTACAGTAGGAGACCAAGGACAGCTAAAGGGGCAACAGGAGAGTGCCGGGGGCCTCAAAAGGGGGGATGGGGCGCCAAAATCAGGTAAGGGAAGACAGAAAGGGAAACTCCACCTGCTTCATTTGACCCAGAACCAATTCTGATTTTTCCAACTGAGTCCGTTAAAGCAGTGCTTCTCAAATGTCGAGGTGCCTGTGACTTGAGGATCTCTTTAAAATGCAGATTCAAATTCAGCAGGTCTGGGCTTGGATCTGAGTTGTTGCACTTCTGACAAGCTCCCAGGTGATGCCTGTGCTGCTGCTGAGGACCACCGTTTGAGAAGCAAGAAATTAAACAATCTCACAGATGGCTAGGGTGACCAACTATCCCAATTTGCCCAGGAACTGAGGGGATTCCTCAGACACAAGGTTTTCAGTGCTGAAACTGGGAAAATCTCAGGACAAGTTGGTTTCCCCACATTTGCCTAAGATTGCAAAATGATGCAGTATCAGCATAGCAGTATATGAAAGCCTCCATTAAGTAGCACATTTGAGGAGCTAGCTTACTAGTTAGCAAATTTACTAGGTTAACAGATTTTTACCTTTCCAAAACATGTGCACCTCTTCCGTTCCTAGTAAGATATTCTTACCCTACCCATTAAGAGTGGCAAAAACTTGGGTTAATTGGTTAAATGAGATAAAAAGGAGTAATTCTTTGATGATTCACCGTCTTGCAAGGCTTCAGGAGCTGTTACTCTAAACAGATCACCTTATAGAATGGATCGGAGACAGAGCTGAGGCTGTTCTAAGCCCAGCCAGACCTTGAAGATTTTTAATACAATCTCTGGTATTGGTGGCATTCTTGCGGTTTAACTATTTCTCAGAAAAGCAGTGCAAAAACGAACACGGGTCGTAATTTAGGATATGAGTTACTTGGATTTGTTATTCCAGGTTATAACACATGACATATTGATATTATAAGAAACAAAGAGAATATTCTTTTTTTTAATTTTTTTATTTTTGTAAGGAAGATCAGCCCTGAGCTAACATCCGTTGCCAATCCTCCTCTTTATCCTGAGGAAGATTGGCCCTGGGCTAACATCCGTGCCCATCTTCCTCTACTTTATATGGGACACTGCCACAGCATGGCTTGACAAGTGGTGCGTCAGTGTGCGCCCAGGATCCAAACCTGCTAGCCCCGGGCTGCTGCAGCGGAGTGCGAACACTTAACTACTGTGCCACCAGACCGGCCCCCCAAGGAGAATATTCTTAATGTCAGCTATCAGTGTAATGATTTGATCTTATAGGATAAATTAAAGGAGTAGGAAATAATACTGTCCACTAACAATGGCTTAGGAAAATGTCAAACAATTTAGGAATAGAGTTAATTCAAAAAAGAAAGGTGGCTTCACCTCTGACCAAATCCAAGTTTTTCCTTTTATTGGCAATCGTAATCACTTGTCATAACCTACCCTTTCCTCTGTTACTCACAGTGCTAGCAGGCAGTGCTGGAAGCTTTCACCTGGCCACTTGATTAAAACCAGAGAACTGCGGCGGGCCCGGTGGCGCAATTGGTTGAGTGCTCGCGCTCCGCCGTGGCGGCCCGGGGTTCGCCGGTTCAGCTCTCGGGCGCGCACTGACGCACCGCTTGGCAAGCCATGCTGTGGCGGCGTCCCATATAAAGTGGAGGAAGATAGGCACGGATGTTAGCCCACGGCCAGTCTTCCTCAGCAAAAAGAGGAGGATTGGCAGATGTTAGCTCAGGGCTGATCTTCCTCACAAAAAAAAAACAAAAAAACGAGAGACCTCAGCTAAGAGAGGATAAATTTAAGACCCACATAAGTCAGGCCATTAACTACCTTCCTGTGTGTCAGGCTATGTGCTACCTGATTCATAGTAATAATGTCATTTAATTCTTACCACCCTGGAAGGCAGGTATTGTTATCCCCATCTTACAGGTGAGCAAACTGAGACTGAAAGTGGTTAAGTAATTGGCCCAGGTTAAAAGGCAAAACTGGTTTTAAAACCTGCTGTTGATGACCACTAGACTATAGTACAGCTCTCTGTGGGACTCAGAATTCTGAAAAGAAAAAAAAAAAACCATGTGGAATGAAGTATGGGGGCATGGATTCCCCACGACATGCGGAGAAGTATAAATTCTTTAAGTCTAAGAATACGTGAAGAAGAGGGAGGGGAGCTTTCTCCTGTGTTCTCCGCAGTCAGTTCTCTGTGCTTTGCTTTGTATATACTTTAGTATCTTATCGAGGGTCAAATACACAAACGAAAGAGAGCCTCACGTGTCTTGGAAGAATGCTAGGAAGACCTCTCTGTCCTTTTAAGGCATCTCAGAATAGCGAGGGCATCAGTAAAGTACAGTGGTTGAGATGACAGGCTCAATATTGTACAATTTAGATTGTCATTTATCTGATTAAAAGACTACTTTTGAAAAAGCAAGGGAATGCTAGATGAAATTGAGTGTAGTGGCTACCTCGGGTGTGGGAAGTAGAGGACAGGACAGGTGAGACCAGGCAAGTAGATTTACCTAAGTTACTGTCAGTGTTGTGGTTCTCAAGTTGGATGGTGGGTTCATAAGTGTTTATTGTAGTTTTAATTAATAAATAGATAAATAGAAGAGAGCCACTGGTCTACCTCAAATATCAGGAAGAAAGGAAAGAAAACAAAGTAGGAGAAAGGAAGAAAGGGAAAGGAAGGCTCTGGTATCAGAAAAGCTTGAATTCAAATCCCAGTTCTGACACTTACTGGTTGTGATTTCTCTAGACCTCAATTTGATTATTTATAAAAGGGAAATTGTATTATGTTAAATCATATGAAGTTTCTGATAGTTGACCTTTTTTGATCTACAGCGTACCTTGTAGGGTTGTTGTACAGATGAAATGAGGTTATGTCCAGACCTAACAAATATTAAGAGCTCAATCAATGTGGTCTATTATTTTTCTCTTCACCTCTTAACAAACACAACTCTGTCAATATTTATTCACATGAACCTACTTCTTTGCCTTTCCCTAGTAAGTGCCCTCCTAACTCCATCAAAAGTGATGAAGAATTGTTATAACCAATTCAAACCAAAGTTAGTCTTTGAATTATACATAATTGTTAACGACTTATGGGACGTTGCAAATTATATCTCATTTTTTCGTTCTTACTAAAGCTGGATAACTTGCTAAAAATATAAGCCCATACACACACGGATATGTAACGATACGTACTTCTACTCGTTCTCTCTTCAGCCAACTTTCCTGTCCCTACTATAACTGACCTTGGAAATCCATCTCTTCACATCAGAAAGATAAATTGTTCAACCTCTGGAGGTTTTCCAGAGCCTCACCTTTCCTGGTTGGAAAATGGAGCAGCAGTAAATGCCATCAACACAACAGTTTTCCAAGATCCTGAAACCGAGCTCTATACAATTAGCAGTGAACTGGATTTCAATGTGACCAACAACCACAGCTTTGTGTGTCTTGTCAAGTATGGAGACTTAACAGTGTCACAGACCTTCAAGTGGCAAACACCACGTAAGTGACATTGTCCTGGGGAGTTTTTACTGTGTAGAATCCAAAAAGCAAATAACAGCCAGATGTATTTTAGAGTTGTGCATATTGACTTGGATAGTGTTTTTTTGCAGTGTTTTTAGACAGGCAAATAAAATGATAAAGTGTTACTGTGACTTACTAAGATCACTGTACAAGGTGTGACTATAATGTTACTAGGCTAATTTTATTTTCTTTAATAAACATTCTAAAATTTAGACATCAAAATAAGTGCTATGCATTAAGTGTAGTCATCTCAGGAAGTTATTGTAACAATATTGTTGGTATTGAAAGCACTAAAATTTGTCCTTCTTTGGAATTACCCTCAGGGCTTTGGTGCTTTCCTTTTGGGCACCCCCTCCCCATGGTCCCATGGTGTCAAGTCGTTGTCTTGTGTGGGTGAATGTGTCTTTTAAGAACTCCTGGTTCATTCAGAACCAAGTGTGGTGAAGAAGGTGAATGACAAACTACTTGAGGACAATGCCTGAAAAAAGAGGTCACTTTTGACCAAATACCATGACCAAAAACTTTATCCAACAGATAGTAAACTTATAGAATTTTCTTTCCTCCAGAGGTGAAATCATTTGAAAATATAAAATGGAAAAAGTTGGGGCCGGCCCTGTGGCTTGGTGGTTAAGTGCGCGCGCTGCGATGCTGGCGGCCCGGGTTCGGATCCCGGGTGCGCATCGAGGCACCACTTCTCCGTTCATCCTGGGGCCGAGTCCCACATACAGCAACTAGAAGGATGTGCAGCTACGACACGCGACTATCCACTGGGGCTTTGGGGGGAAAAAATAAAATAAATAAAATGGAAAAAGTTGGGCTTATATAAATTTATGTGTGTTAAACCCTTAATGGGTTATTATAGAAGAACTCAGATACTGGAAATACATGTCTAACTTGAATGGCTGATTATATGGAGGACCACCAGGCCTCCCCCTACCCCCAGCCCCACTCCTAACAATATGTTTTGGGGCTGCATAGTAAGAAACAATACACTGAGTTTGATATACAGTGGTATGTAGGTATAGAGTCTAATATATAATGTATAGTATGTCTCATGTCTTACTCTTGTCTTGCAATAGAGGAAATATTTTAGGTGGTCTAGTAGTAAATTCTAGTGAGTTATTTGCTCTAGATCTTTCCATAGTGAATGTATTCTTTAATTAGGTAATGAGATAAAATTTCTTGGGAAAATTAGTTCAAATATAAACCAAATTTTGACATGATTTTATTGATAGTCCAAACTCATCTCTCTCAATCATCTTTTACATATTTTAAAAAATGTATTAAAATGAGATTTGAATCATATAGTAAAGATAGTTTATTAATTCAGCATTACTTTTTAATTTACTGATATATGATTATTTAACCAATTTTAGATTATCATGACTAAGGTGGGGAATAGTACACAAATCAGTAATAGCAGCTTCAAACATACTTTGTTTTTGGACAGTATTTATATATGGAATATAGGTATGTATTCTAGGACAGGGGTTGGCAAAATTTTTCAGAAAAGGGCCAGATAGTAAATATTTTAGTCTTTGTAAGTCATAGGATCTCTTGCAAGAACTCAATTCTGCTGTTATACCATGAAAGCAACCATAGACAAGACCTAAATGGCTGTGTTCCAAAAAAATTTTATTTTAAAAAATAGGTCGTGGGCCAGGTTTGGCCTATATACTGTAGTTTGCTAATTTATAGAAAATAGAATGTAGCCCTTCAAATAAAAGGATGAGCTATAACTTGAAGACGATTTAGACTGCCCAGCTTTATCATCTTTTCCGTCAGATGCTTCTCTCAATTCTTTCTTTGCACTAAGGATAACAGAATTCCTTTTCAGTCTAACTCAAAACACTAGCTCTTTGGGGCCGGCCCCGTGGCTTAGCGGTTAAGAGCTCGCGCTCCGCTACTGGCGGCCTGGGTTCGGATCCCGGGCGTGCACCGACGCACCGCTTCTCTGGCCATGCTGAGGCCGCGTCCCACATACAGCAACTAGAAGGATGTGCAACTATGACATACAACTATCTACTGGGGTTTTGGGGGAAAAAAAAAAAGGAGGAGGATTGGCAATAGATGTTAGCTCAGAGCCAGTCTTCCTCAGCAAAAAGAGGAGGATTAGCATGGATGTTAGCTCAGGGCTGATCTTCCTCACAAAAACAAAACAAAACAAAACAAAAAACAAAACACAAGCTCTTTGCACTATTTGGTCTACATTCACAATGTTTAATGGAGAGAGGATTGAGTGTATGTGTTTATTCCATCTTTGTTAAGTAGTTATCACATACCAAGCATCTTACTAGGTCCTCACATTGTCTCTATGGTCGGAGAGCTTTAGTGTATAAATCCTTCAAATCTCATTAATTGAAATGCAGGCATCATTTAGAGTCAAAAGCAAATAATGCATTTGTGGGTGGGCAAGGGATGACTGCATAAACAAATATAAATTAGTTGTGTAGTTCATAGAAACGTTACAAATCAATGTGAGTAAAGCTTTACTATGTAAATATCCACTCTAAAAACCCCCAAATTTATTAATTAAACAGATTGGGTCTACAATTCTTTTAGTCTGGGCCTGCCAAATTTGTTAACCCTTGATGTCCTGGAAGGCATATGAGTGTGTAGAATGGGGCAGAGTCCCACTCATGGTGTCTAATAAGCTCTGTGAGCAGATGTCCTCACATAACGATGCACTTGGGATCCTGGGCCTGCCCTGTGGCACATTACCAGGTTCCTAATAGGCATCACGACAGAGCTGGCTTGCTGCTACTGATTCCTCCTTCTTTCGCTCACACACACATCTTCTTCTTTCTAGGCTAAGTGAGGCCTGAGGATGGGTGGGGAGTGGCCTCTGAGAGGAAGCCAGGAGTCGGAACCTGTGAAACTTCTAGACTCCCAGGATAATAGCAAGAGCTTCTTTGTTATTTTGGGTGTCATTCTGGTCTGTAGAGGCCAATCCTGGTAATCACTTGATGTTTCCATGCAATCTGGTGTTTAGAGAGAAAGAAAAAAACTAACATTCTCTAGTCTCTAAGTGGTAGGTGCACCATGAAAAAATGTGCATTTTAGAATGATTACTGTGGCAGAAGCTGTAGAAATTATTAGAGCCTAGGAAACCAGAGGCAAAGAGACCAATGTGGAGGCTACTGGGCGGGAGATGAGAAAAACTTAAACTAAGGTAGTTGCTGCAAGAGATTTGGGGAGAAGGAGTCAACTGCAGAGATTCTGAATACAGAAGAGAAAGTCCATGGGAGCCTACTGAGCAGCAAGCACAAAGACAAGCTTTCCCTCTTATTTGGGTAACTAATGCTGTTGCCATTCTCTGAAATGGGAGAATATAGGTGGCAGTATGCTTTGGAAAGAGTATAGTGAGTTCAGTTTTAATCAAGTGGAGATGCTGGCATCTAACCATCTAGTCAGCAGCTGGAAATTCAAATCTGGAGCTCAGAAATGAGGTCATAAATATGATATACAGATTTAGAAATCAGATGGTGTTCAAAACTTGGGTGTGGATGAGCTCACCCAGGAGGACTAGGGCCAATGCGAAGAGAATGGGACCACAGATGGAGCCCTGGGGAACAACAATATTGGAAGGACAAGAAGAAGAAGAGCCTATGAAGAAAACTAAGTCACAACAAACAGAAAGAGAAGAATGTGGTATCATAGAAGTCCAAGGAGGAGAAGGTTTCAACTGGGCCAATGCTGATGAGAAGTCCAAAAAACTAAAGACCAAAATTTATCCACAAGGCTTGGTAATCAGAAAAAGAAAACAAAAAAACAGTAAGTTAGTAAGTGTTCAATATTTATTTGTAAGCCATTCCAAGAGAAATCAGAAGACGGTGAGCTGCTAATATTCCTTTTAATTTGTGTCCCTGCCCTCTCTCCAGATGTCATTGCTAACTACTCCTCAAAGGGGTTGAAGAATAAACGGTGTGGCTGCTGCTCCTGATCAGGAGGGACGGACAGCAGTGCCACGTACACCTCTCCACTCCCCACCCACATCCTTCCTCGTGTCCCCTGCGTTCTCTCTGTTCCCTGTGCTCTACAGCTGAGAGCCAGTTTGTAGAGCTCTCCTCCGGGATGATCCCACTTAATACCAGGCCACATCCACTCTCAGTTTATTGCTGGGCCTCTTCTATCCTCCCAGAAGCTCTAGGCTGGATGGTGAAAAATGTGTATCTCAAAATGAATGAAAAGCAACTCCTGTAGCTTTAGGCAGCTACTGTGAGAGGTGTGTGTATGTGTGGGTGTGTGGGGGTGTGTGTGTGTTAAGAGAACCTGCTAAGAGAAAGGGAGAAGGCACGACAGAGCTGGAGAAAGAAAAATAAGGTATATCCAGAACGCGCCATCAACTAATTATTAGTAGCAACACATAGTAATATCAGCTGTAAAATTGAGATACAAAGACAAGATAGCTTTTCAAGTATCTCCTTAGAATCTTTTTCCATGCCAACTTAACTCAGTAAATGCAAAAGTTCACATTTTCTTTTTCACATTCAATGTCTGACATCTGGATATTAGTTGCCCAAAAGTATGTGTCTGATCAAAGAGTTAGGCAAGAAAAATACTAGCAGCTGCATTTTGGAGAGCTGACCAGGCAAAGAAGTGAAAAGTACTCTACAGTTTTGTCAATATAAGGGGCATGGAATGGGTATCAGGCAGTTGGAAACACATTAGAGCTGACGCTATTCTTTTCCCTCCACAGCCAAACCAGAAGTTTCTTTTCCTAATCAGTCTCTGATCCGGACCATTATCCCAGTCTCCGTAACTGGGATTTTTGTAGTAATCGCCGCGCTCATCACATGCCGAAGATGCCCGCCCCGCAGTAAGTTCTATTGTACTACCATCACGATCTCAGTTCCTGGAAGCCAAACTTCAGTCTGGTTCAGCATCTCTCCAAGGTTTTAGCCCATTCTCTTCTCATTTTTGGAGCAAGTCTATGGGAACTTTTGTGTCTCCTTTACTTGCCTCAGCAAATTCTGTTATTCACTGGACAGACATGTCTTGGGCACCTGCTATGTGCCTGGCACTCTGCTAGGCACTGCAGTTACAAAGGTGAGAAATCACTGCCCTCGAGACACATTCTAGTTTAATCCTTTTATTTTTCCTCTAACTTTATAGTATTTTCTTGGAGACACTGAGACTTGCTAATTTGAAAATATTTCTGATGCAAATTGATATTCTAATTTTTAACTTGGAATTGGAGGAAAGGCAGAATGACAAGATTTGGGGGGCAAGAATCATTTTTTTGGAGGAGGGTAAGATGCACTAATGAAGTTGAGAAACTACATGACCATAGGTGATTTTACCAATTCTCAATTCTTTAGAATACATTTTTGGATGAAAGATCAGGAGTGGTTGAGGAAAGAAGAAATATATAGGATATTTTTTCCTATGAATTTAAATTTTTGGCCTTCCACATAAGCTACCCCCAATCTCTGTAATTAAATGAAGAGGAACTGCTGGGCCAGAGCTGAGGCCATAGTCCCTATGAAGGACATCAACCTTTCTTGGAGTAGAAATCATGTACACTGAGCAAAGAACGTTGGAAGACCAATATCTGCTAATTTTCCCAACATTCAGCACAAAAAATGTCCAAGCTCAAGGAAGTCACTAGAGACTCTTTGCTCTGAACAACTCACCCCACAGGTAGGATAAAGAGGTCTAGTGGGATCAAGGATGTTTCTAATACAGCCTGGCCAGCCTTACCCCTGTAGTTCACGGTTTCTCATTCTTAGTACTATTGACATTTGGGGCCAAATAATTCTGTTTTAGGGGGCTGTTCTGTGCATTGTAGGATGTTTAGCAGCATCCTTGGCCTCTACGCACTGTATGCCAATAGCATCCCTTGCCCCAGTTGTGACAACCAAAAATGTCTCCAAGCATTGCAAATGTCCCCTGTGGCCGGAGGTGGGGGTGGCGTGGCATAGGAACAACCCCCGGGTTGAAAACCACTACTTTAGTTCTAAGCCAGTCTGAAGGCTTGCTGAAATATATGGGCACAATTTAAGGGAAACTTATCTAAATTGTTATTGTTTGTGCTTGTCTTCAAGGACCTGCTGCAAGGAGACAGAGAAAGAAGAATGAGGATAGCATGGAAATGGAAAGGATCTCCCCTATCTACAGAGAATCTGCAGAATCATCGGGCTGAACAGAACATCCAGAGGTAGGCTCCTTTAGCTCTTCTCTACCAATGTGGCATATATGAGATCTTGTGGATCATGAGGCACAGTGTTTTCTTCCTCTCAGTACCAAATTTAAGATCTTTTACCTAGTATGACACTTTCTCAAAAACCTCATTCAGATGATTGGCATCTCTCTCCTTTTTCCCCACATACCATTTGCTTATTGTAACCTCTTCCTTTGCTGTGCCATTCTGCCATCTTGAAATGTTCCCCTCTTGTCAGTCGATTCAGTCTTTCATTATCCCTAAAACACTACTTTAAGTTCATCTTGAAGTACTATTCCTGGGCTAATCCCTTATCCTGATCATTCCTTTTTCCCTGTATCCCTCAGTACTGATGGACAGACTGGGATCACTTGTAGGTCGCACTGTACTAACTCAGTAACATTCTCACGGTCTCTCTGCCACGTACTAATAGTCATCCTATCGACCCAGTCACAGAGCCAAATTTCATAAAGAATTACTTCTCCATGTCATTTTCCCATTCAGAAACTCAGAAGAGACCCCAGTACCTACAGGAAAACCTTCAAAACTTTTAACTTTCCATGTTCCTGTTGATCTCTTCAGTCTAAACACCCTCAGTTCTTTCAGTTGCTCTTCACGTGGCAGTTTCCAGCAGCTTCATGTGAACACACTCGATGTCAGTAAATGGTGTCCAAGGCTTTAGATCTGACTGATTCTACATACAATGGGATAATTACTATCCGGGGTCTGGAATGTTCTTTCTGTTAAGGGAGCCTAACACAGCATCAGCTTGTGAGTCACATGGTTAACTTATATCACTTTTTTGCTATCCTAAAATTGCCAGGTCTTTTCATGTAAGAGAAACGCTGGAACCCTGTAATCCAAGAGAGTGATATCAGGTCCAGTGTGGTTGATAGCCTTCCATAAGCAGTTCAGTTTTGACTTATGCAAGTTAGGGTGACACCAGCCTAAGAAATGAGAGTCTGCAGAGTTACCTTTAAAAATAAAATAAAATGAAATATAAAACTTGGGATTTATATAACAGGTTATGTTTTGCAAAAGCATTATTTCATTTTAGTCTCATAAAAATTTCTGCGAGCAAGATCTTTCTGTCTCCATTTTATGGGTGAGAAACCCGAGGCTCTCAGAGGTTGAGGGATTTGCCTAAGGTCAGACAGATAAAGAGCAAAACAAGGACTCAAACGGGACATGAAGCTCAGGTCCCCTTCTTGGCACCATAGCAGCCTGCACATATTTTCCCCACGACAGGCTCTCAATTTCCTTCCTGTTTTCTTTTCATTTCAACTTCTTGCTCACTCTTCAGGATGCCCTTTCTGGGATGTCCCCCTCAGTTCTGCAATTATCTAGAATCTCCTGGACTTTCCTTCTATCTTAAAAGTCATCTGCTCAGTTGGCTGATACTTCATAATGAAGCCACGAATCCAGTCTTCTCCACGAAGCCTTCAGTGGCCATCTCGTCCAGTTCAAGCAGTTCTGCCTCTGAAGTGCTGTAGCAATGCTTTCTCCAGCACATCGCATTCTACCCTAGGTTGATTTTCATGTGTCATGGCTTATATTCGCTACCAAATTGTGGGTTTCCTGAGAAGAGCAGCCATGCCTGATACCTCTTTGTTGGCCCCACATCTAAAAGAGTGCCTTGATCAATAACATTTGGTTGTTTGATGATAGCTGGTGCTTAATATTTGCTGACATTTCACACAGTAAAAATTGTCAGGCTTGTCCTAAATTCTCTCATAATTTAGACTTCCCTTTATATTCTTTAGCCATCAAGATTAATATCTACAATGTTACCTCAAGTTCGGAATACTCTTGCAATAAAAAATATAAAATTTAAAAATGCTTTCCTCAGGTCCAACGTCCATCTGAGATTCTTCTTGGAACTTCCTCAAATGGCCAGGATTATCCCACCTTGCCCTTCATGTATCCGTTCTCTAGAAGCCTCTTCATTTCAGTGGATTTGCAGAAAGTGACGAGAGGAGTATAGTGGGGACAGAAGTAGTTGTGGTGACCTTGATCAAGGAATTTGGAAAAACAGGATTCTTTAGACCTGGAAGAGATATTAGAGAATACTAGTCTCATTAATGACAAGGAAATCGAGGCCCTGGAAGGTGACCTGAATTGTAAAGGCCAAAGCCAGAATCCAGATTTCCTGGCTGTGGTGCTCTTTTCCTCCATCAATCCAGCCCTGTACTATTAACTGGTGTACATATATGTATATATACATGTCAGTTACAGTGCTTCTGGAAACAGAATTTGTCTGACTTCAGACACTTGATCTGATGCAATACTAGAAAATGATTTTATGTTGTTGTTAAAGGCAATCTAATGTTAATGTGTGGGAAGTATGTTGGTATGTATACCTATATGAAGATAATGGAAATATTATTGGTGTTTAGCCAGTATTTCATTTTTCATTGTGTTCTCCTCTGTTGCTCTCCCACTTCTCCATCAGGTTCAGGAGAAAGTAGATCTATCTAAAACTAATTTCCTCTGACATGTAAGATTAACGACTTATACACCTCAAAGCAATAGTCAGGTTGGAGAGGGATAGTTGGGTTTAATGAGTCACATTCTACTGGTTCATATTGGACTGATAATCTCCCTAAATGGCTTTATGCTAGTTTAACTTCATTTGTAAAACATTTATGAGAAAGTTCTCATTTAAAATAAGAAGTTTTTATTGTGTATGTACTAAACAGTAAGCTGTCTTTAGAAGAAACTGATTGAGGTAATGAAAACAGCATTCCATAGGGATTCCTTAGATCCCTAAAGTGGCCTTTCCTCCTTGGCATTTCTGGATCCTTCTGACATTAGCAGAGAATTGAAACCAAAGAACTGGCCAACTGCTGTTCCTATGTTACTTGCTCATGACTCCTCTTTCTCTGAAATTGCCTTCCACACCCACTGGACCAGGAGTGGGCCTGACTTCAGCTGGGGCAATGAGACATTCTCATCTGAAAATCTGGAGTTGGACAGCAAGAGTTGACCAAGTTTCTCAAATGTGGCTAGATTTAAAACATTTAATTTTGGTAGCTATAAAGGGACTAGCTTATGCTATGGAACAGAAGTACACTTTTAAATGGTTGCTCTCAGAACAAAATCACTGAAGAAAATAAAGGTAGGGGACTGACAAGAACTTAAAGCAAAGAAACAAACAATAAAAAACACAGGAGTTGCTGCTTTTAGTGAAGATTCATAATCCTTAGATAGGATCAAAAGGAGACTTCAAGAATTAGCCACAAAATAGGGCAAACCTAACACACAGCTTATTTATACTTTAAATAAGTATGTTAAATTATTGTTTATTACATTTAATAAATGTGTTAGCACTGTTTTTTCAAAGAATTTTATTTTACTTTTATTGTTCTAATATTTTTGTGATACGAATAAAATTATTTTTAAAACCAACTATCTAATATTATATAACTTCTAGTTGAAAGATTTAATCAATATGTAGATGTGAATAAAACAATAAACAAATTGCCAATTTCTCAGCAATTTATGAATGGGATAATTAAGAAAAACACGCTTTATGGAGTGTGGTAATAACATGTAAATCATGGTGAAAATATACTGGTGCAAAGGTCTCATAAGCTTGTTATATAACGCCCGTGTGCGTTACGTAGCCAGGGCATTATGCTATGCTTTACATGCATCATTTCATTTAATACCCATTCTTTTTTTTTTTTTTTTAAAGATTTATTTATTTATTTTCCCCCCAAAGCCCCAGTAGATAGTTGTACGTCATAGTTGCACAGCCTTCTAGTTGCCGTATGTGGGACGCGGCCTCAGCATGGCCGGAGAAGCGGTGTGTTGGTGCGTGCCCGGGATCCGAACCCGGGCCGCCAGCATCAGAGAGCGCGCACTTAACCGCTAAGCCACGGGGCCGGCCCTTAACACCCATTCTGAGGTAGATACTATTTCATTTGACAGATGAGAAAACTGAGACTTAAAGTAAAACAGCTTTGCTATACGTCACCTGGCCGTGAGGTCACATGGGTGAGATTCCAAGCCAGTGGTCTGCCTCCAGAGCCCATGGTTTTAGCTACTACACTACATTGCTTCATAAACCTTGCTCCCGTGAACAACAGTATTTTCAGGGTAGGAACTAAGAGGTCTAACACCAAAACAAAGCACTAGCAGTTTTTTCCCCTCAGTACACTTACTTCAGTCCTTTTCTCCCCCTCATTTAGTAAAAGTTACAGTCTGCAGCACAGCTTCCTTCCTAGGCAGCAAGCTCCTGCAGCACAGAAACTGTGTATCTATTCTAAGTAACTCTTCCCACTACAGTGTAGATACCTCATCAGCAATACTGAGACAGGAAACAAGTTGGGCTGCTTCTTTAATAACGCTTATCTACTTCCTTTTTGTTAAATTTATATTTTATTTCAAATGGCATTGGAATCATCTTTGATTTTTATTAAAACAAAACCAAACACTATTACACACTTAGGCCCATGCTGCTTCTAGGACCCAAGAGCACAAGAGTTTCACAGACCATTTGCCTTCCTGGTTCTTTCCTCTCCTCCTCCTACAGGTTCCTAGAGTATCCTGTTAAAGGGCTACAAGAATAAATAGACAATCTGTAGAATTCCACTTTAATCTTTTGGGAAATTCTTAATTTACTGTTGTAAAATCCAGGGAGAAGAAATATATATTGATCAATCAATACAGATATAATGTCAAATATATAGACCAATCAATATAGATATTGATACGTATTTAAATTTAAGGATAAGTAAAGTAAGAGTACACTAGCCCAATCCTTGGTAAAAACAAGATAAGAGCAAGTTACTGCCACCACAGGTGCCAGCGCTAACATTTGTCAGCAGGTTGACCAAAGAGGAGCCTGACCACTGGCGTTCAGTGGACATGGCAACATAGCTCCTTCAACTCTCCAATGAGTTTCAAGTCCAGAAGGTTTTCAGTCCTTGTCTTGTTTATCTGTTGATGGAGGGTTTCTAGGAAGATTTAGCAGTGCTTCAATTTTCTTAGCATCATCCTTGGATTGATTTTTCTGTAAGCTGCTTTCAATCTCTTCAGGGAGGAGCTCAGTAAATTGTAGTCTGGCTTTCCTGCAATCAAACAATGAAAAGGATATACCAAGTACTGCTCCATTTCTTTAGTTTTTAGAGTTTTTAAAAATATAGTATTTGTCTTATTCTCCCTGCAACTTATGAGCAAACACTGCTCCTTGCACGTCAAACACAATGACTTTCTTCTCTCTCCTAACCTGTTCCACTCACAAGCCAACTAGGATTCTCACATTACCAAAATGGACACTGCCATGGCAGCAGCTCTGAGTCAAAAGATATTCCAGAGTTTTTGCAGGGTTGATGTGCAGATGCTGAAGTACCTGAGCTAAGGTGTGAGCCTCGCAACCTGGCTGACCTTTTGCCCTCAGGACTGGGGCGATGGGACCCCCACCCACTCTGTTAAACCCTCTGTTGGCAGACCTTGTAGGAAACGCACACGGCTACGACAGTGGTAACCTGGGTACAGAAAGGTCAGGCAGGACAACACTATAGAGGTATATTTACCAAGAGTTAAAATCTAATTTCCAAGTAACAGATCAGTTCTTTTTCTAAATCAAGTATTAGCGTCTTCCTTTCTTTACATGATTAACAGGGTCACCTATGACTTTCTTCTCAGCTCTTCACAAGCAGATTGGAGCATTTCTTCTCCACATCTCTACAGCCAGTGTTCTACGTTTTCTGCTCACTAAGGCAATTTTTTAGACTCTCTTTGTTTGATTTGATTTCTCTATGGTTATTTTCAAGCAAAGAAGTTAATAAATAAATTAACTATTTATTAAATTAACTCTTTTCAAAAATATCACATATACATATTACATATATATAACCTATACATTTTTGACATTTCCTTCTGCCAGTGTTCTTTCATTACTATAATTCAAGTTATTGTTTTTACCCATTCTTGAGGTTTTCCATCTCTAAATAACTGAGGAACTTCTCTAGTTTTTTTTCTGGTTTCCTTTTTTTTTTATTGGACAAGTATTATTTGTTCATATTTTCCCAAATGTTAATTCTTCCATAATTTCCTGTATCAGATTCAAATAACCAGTATACTTCCTTACCTTTCCAACTCCTTTCTCAAAGCTTCCTTTTTAAAAAAGAAATCTCTTATGACAGCTAAAGAACTAGAATAAGCTAATGCTTTCATGCTTTTAATTCTCCATGATATCAAATTTTACACTGGCATCCAGAATTTTAGGTGCTTTATCCTGGAACCTAGATAACTTCATATCTCACCTACCCTCTTACTATGGAGAAGAGGAAGGAATGAAATAAACATATATTGAACATTGTGGTATGATTCTGCCCTTAGAATGGCTAAGAAAACTGAGGGTTTGAAGTTAAGGAAAATATCTGAGGCCATAGAACTAATTAATAGTCTAGCTGGGATTTAAGCTTTGTTTTTGAAGTTTCATTGGCTCCAAAAACAATGCTTTTTCTTCTATAGCACCTAAGTCCTCCAAAAACAGATCTATAGATATTAAGAACTTCTGTGTGTGTGTGTGTTTAGCACAAACGGAAGTTTCAAGTAAAAACATGGGGAAAAAAGACTGCTTATGTATTCAACTACCAAAGCAGCAGCAGCAGCAGAAGTCATCTTAGTGCCCAGGAAGCTGAACCGTGAGAATCACTTGTACAAGGACTGCCAGATGGCGGCCTGTCATGTTGATCTTACAAAGAACCAGCACAAGTCGGCTATCAGTCTGATTATGGTACCCCCGGGAATGACGAGATGGAACAAGCGAAAGCTTTCGTCTTCCTCAGTGGCATCTGGTCCGTGAACAGCCACTATATCTACCTAATTCCTGTGCGTTCACAGCAAGAAGTAGAATCTTTGAATGTGGAGACCTAACATGCTCTCCACAATATGGAGAATGTTGAATGCTCTCAAAAACTGTTCATAGATGTATGTGTAAACTGCGTATCACCCTTTTGTTTTTGTTTTTTTTTTTTTTTGGTGAGGAAGATTGGCCCTGAGCTAACATCTGTTGCCAGTCTTCCCCTATTTAGTATATGGGATGCTGCCACAGTAAGGCTTGATGAGCGGTGTGGAGGTCCGCACCTGGAATCTGAACCTGCGAACCCCAGGGTGCTGAAGCAGAGTGTGCAAACTTAACCACTACGCCACTGGGCCAGCCCCAAGGGGCAGCACCTTTTAAATAAAGCCAAGTAAAGCTCATTCATTGCTGCGCATTTCCTTTAGGTAATTTCCTATGCAGTCAAGAATAGAAAAAATATGCAACCAAATGAGATTTACACATCTTAACTTTTAAGAAAAACATATCTCAGGAAAGAGCTTCATCAGATTAAAAACAAAATTAGTGTCTTTCATTTTTCCATTCTCTTTAATTAAAAAGATTAAAAGACCAGGTAGGCTGCAAATTGAGAGACTCAGTGCAAAGAAACTCTTCTTTGAATTGAGTGGCAGTTTACTGCACATGGGTTAAGAGGACACCACTCTAAGGCCTCGGCTAGGAAAGTCAGATACGCTTATCTTCACAGGCTCCTTACCATTCTTCCACTTTCAGCTCATGGAGTGCTTTTCGATCCTTCTGTTTTCTCTCCTGAACGGTCTCACCATAGTACTTCTGAAGTGCCATCATCAGGCTTCCTATAGGAGTGCTGAGGGGGAAGCAGGGGGAAAGCTTAGGAAGAAAGAGCCATGAGACACAACATGTGAGCATCTCTACTAAGGCTGAGCAACACCAACTGAGCACTTGTGCACAGACAGGTCCAGAACAATGGACAGTTAAAGCATCCTTGTCCAATGAAGAAAAAAATACTAAGGTAATTTCCTTTTTGGTCTGAACAATAGAGAAAAACAATCACTGCAACTTCCTAAAATTAACTGGTATAAAAACAACAGGTCTATAAATTGGCTCTGTTTTTTATCATGAATGATAAATAAACCAGGAAAATATATATTTATGAAACTCTAGAAGTAGCTTTATACTGAAGGTTTCTCAGAAATGAAATCAGTACCAGCAATGGTACCAGATCCCCCAGGGGGCAGGAACTGTCGAGGGCGTTTCTGGTTGAGGAAAGGATGCTACCGGCTTTTGGGGTTGGAGCCACCAAAACATCCTAAAGTGCAGGATGCTAGCACAACAGTCTCACCGACAATGCCAATAGTTACCCATTGAGAAATTGATTTAGATAATAATTATTACAGTAACAAAGAGTGTTTGACTCGTGTTCTCAAAGAGAAGCAGTTTTTGACTCTAATATAACTTACATTCCCTCTGGCTATAACTTAAGTAAACACATTTTAAAAATTATTTTTGCTAAGTGGAAATGTCCCTCAACAGATGAATGGATAAAGAAAATATAGTATATACAATGGAATACTGTGCAGCCTTAAAAAGGAGATTCTGTCTCATGCTACAACATGAATGAACCTCGAGGATATTATGCTAAATGAAATAAGCCAGCTATAAAAAGACAAATATTATGTGATTCCACTCATATGAAGTATATAAAGTAGTCAAGATCATAGAAACAGAAAGTAGAAAGGTGGTTGCCAAAGGCGTGTGAGGGGGTGGAATTAATGTTTAATAAGTACAGAGTTTCACTTTTGCAAGATGAAAAAGTTCGAGATCTATTGCACAACAATGTGAATATACTTAACAATGTGAATATATACTAAACTGTACATTTAAAAATGGTTAAGATGGCAAACTTTATGTTATGTGTTTTTTACCACCATGTAAAAAAATTATTCTTGGTGTTAAGTTCAACAGTTTTCATCTTCAAACAAAGCTGGCATATTAATAATAAAACAAAAATAAAGTCAGCAATGGATTATGACATGCTGAACTTTAAAAAAAATTTTAATTAAAAAACCCCCCCATAAATCTACAGTGTTAACTCCTCCTGGAAAGGAGGCAGAAAAAGGGAGTGGGTAGGTGGAGGGGAAGGGAGAACTCTTCTATTCAGGTGAATTCCTGATAATAAAAATGGAAGAAACGATATAGTAGCAAATCAACGTTTTGCAACCACCTTTGTAATAACTGATTACAGCATGGATCATCAATGGATCATTAAAACCACTAAAAGAAGGATGGCTGGAGAGCAGGCTAGTCACACAGTCTCACTCCACAGATTACTTATTAACCACAATGGGAAAAAGATACCTTTGTAGTAGACAAATTTAGTAGATACCAAATGTGGTAGGCAGAACTCCAAAATGGCTCCCCAAACTTTCCTGTCCTAATCCCTCAACTATGAATACACTGAGCTATATGATGAACCCATGATTACATTATGTTATATGGAAAAATGGATTTTACAGATGTAATTAAGGTTTCTAATCAATTGAATTTGAGTCAATCAAAAAGGAGATTATCTGGGTGAAGCCTTTAAAAGCAGCGAGTTTTCTCTGGCTGGTGGCAGAGTGAAAGTCAGAGAGATTTGAAGTATGAGGAGGATTCAACGTGTGGGTTGCTGGTTTGAACATGGAGGGGGCACTGTGAGAAGGAATGTGGATGCCTCTAGGAACAGAGTGGTGCCTGGCTGACAGCCAGCCAGGAAATGGCAACTTCAGACCTATAGACACAAGGATTCTGTCAATGACCTGAATAGTTTGGAAATAGGTTCTTCCCCAGAGCCTCCAAATAAGAGCCTGCCTGGCCAACACCTTGGTTTTTTTGGCCTTGTGAAACCCTGAGCAGAGAACCCATCCAAGCCTACCTAGACTTCTAACCTACAGAACTGTGATATAATAAATGGGTGCTGTGTCAAGCTGCTAAGTTTGTGGTAATATGCTACACAGCAACAGAAAACTAATAACCCAAATAACTCAAGTTAACATCACTTATAAAGGGTGACATAATATGTCTCTTGATGTGATACACTGAGAAGGACACAACTTCACCTGTGTTGTATTCCTGATGAAAACATTTAACCTAAATCTAATCATGAGGGGATAATCAAACAAATTTGAGAAATAGTCAGGGGGAAAAAAGGCAGTGGAACTGTTCTAGCTTAAAGAACTCTAAAGAGAGATGACAACCAAATGCAATATACAACTGGATCCTGGGCTAAATATAGATATATATATGGCATTATTGTAATAATTGAGGAATTTTGAATATGGACTCTATCTTAGATAGTTGTATTGAATCAACACAAAATTAGTTATTGTGATCATTGTACTGTGATATCATTGGAGAATGTTCTTTATCCTCGGAGATACACACTGATATATTTAGGGGTGAAGAATTATGAGGTCTCAAATGGTTTAACCAAAAAGAAAAAAGAGAAAGAAAAAAGAAATATACACACATCCTACACATATACAGAGAGATAGAAAACAAATATGGCAACATGTTAACAACTGGTGAATCCAAGTGAAGGATATATAGGTGTTCAATGTCCTAAGTTATTCAACTTTTCTGTAGGTTTGAAATTTTTCAAAGTAAAAAGTTGGAGAAGAAAATTTTAAAAATTTATTAAACAACTGAAACCTAAACAGAATTCTTTTATAGAACGTGCTTTTAACTATTGCTCATTCCTCGTTCCTGCTTCTTATAAGTACCTTTGTTCAAACTACAAATAGTTTCAGGTGTTAGTGATACTTAAACAGTTTTTACCCAGTGAAAACAAAGTAAAATCAACAACTGAGGTAAAATTAGAATTGGACAGTCAAAGCTACTGCCAAATACAAGACCAGAGACATTTTACGGGCTCTAAGGATTAAATTTGTTCTTTAGAAATGAAGGAGATTTTTAACAGGCATTAATGAAAGTTGTATTAATTTAGAATCAAACTATGGTAACACTTACCCTAGCAAGGCTCCAATGATGCCACCAGCCACCAGACCATGCAGGCCTAAGTTTATTCTAAAAAGACTTCCTGTGACAGCTATTTAAAAACAAACAAAAAGGCAATATTAAATCTTCTTTAAATACTTGAATTCCATTTAATTTTCCTTCTATGAAAAGGACATAAATCCCTAAGTAAGCTTTCTGAGCCCAACATTAATATACCACCGCAACCCAGATTTCCTGACTCTAAAATGCCAATACAGCTAGCTTCTCTTCCCCTCTGCAGGTTCAAAGGAAGAAACGTTCCTTTTACAAACCTAATTCTTCAATCTGGTCTATGGATCCAACTTCTCATTCTGCTCGTTTTTGCCCACCTCTCCTTAAAAATCTGTAATGTCTTCACTTCCACTTCTTTCATTTCTTCCTTCTTCAAGGAAAGCTTTCTTCAAATAAACAACAAAACCCACTGCAGCTTACGCCTTCCCAGAGCCTTACCCTTTCTGTACTGCTAGACGACACCTCTCAGGCAGGACTGCAAGCGGGCATTCGGCCTACAATGCCACCTGGTGGCCGATGCACGGGTCCCCTGTCCTTCCCACTGGGATTGTACATCCACCATGTTCATTCATTCTCCTTTTTCACCACGCACAACACAACTAATGGCATCTCAGGCGGTAACTTTTTAAAAGTAACATTTGAGTTTATATTTATTTAAGTACTACATGTTCACTTTTAAAATTTTCTAAATTTTTAAATTAACAAGAAGGAAAATCATCTTTAACTCCATTACCCAAAGACAGTAATAAATTTGGTCTTTTTTTCTAGTCTTCTTTTCCACACAAAATATTTTTAAAAACAAAATATTTTTTAAAAACTTATGAGAATAGCCAAAATCTTGAACACTGACAACACCAAATGCTGGGAAGAATGAGGAGCAACAGAAACTCTCATTCATTGCCGGTGGGAATGCATAATGGTACAGATACTTTGGAAGACAGTTTGGCAGTTTCTTACAAAACTAAACATACTCTTACCATATAATCCAGCAATCACTCCTTAGTATTTATGTAAAGGAGCTGAAAACTTATGTCCACACAAAAACCTAAACACAGATATTCATTGCAGCTTTGTTCATAATTGTCAAAACTTGGAAGCAACCAATATGTCCTTCAGTAGGTGATGAATAAAGTATGCATCCAGACAACGGAATATTATTTAGTGCTAAAAAGAAATGAGCCAGCCCTGGGGGTCTAGTGGTTAAGATTCGGCACTCGCAGAGCAGTGGCCTGGGCTCGTTTCTGGGTCGGGGAACCACACCACCCATCTGCTCGTTGTCATATGTGGCAGCTGAGTGTTGCTGTGATGCTTAGAAGCTTTTTCTTCTCAGCTAACTTTGAATTCCTTGGATAAATTCCACTTGGCCATGATGTATAATCCTTATTTGTTGCTGGACTTGGTTTACTAATGTTTTGTTAAAAATTTTGGGGTATATACCCTTGAGGGATAGTGATCTGTAGTTTTCTTGGCTATCTTCATCTGGCTTTGGTATCAGGATAATACTGGGCTAACAGAATGAGTTGGGAAGTGTTCCCTCTTCTATTTTCTGGAAGAGTTTGTGAAAGAAACTTACCAAATAGCCAGGGAAGCCATCTGGTCCGGGGCTTTTCTTTGTGAAAAGATCTTTTAATAATTTAGTTTATTAACTTGTTATATAGCTATTCAGATTTTCTATTTCTTCTTGAGTAAATTTTGGAATTTGTGTTTTTTTTTTAATTGGTTGGTCTTGTTAAAAAATTGTCTCTTTTGTTGATCTTTTAAAAGAACCAACTTTTGGTTTCACTGATTTTTTCTATCGTTTTTCTTTAAATTTCACTGAGTTTTGCTTTATTATTTCCTTCTATCTGCTTACTTTAGGTTTATTTTGCTCCTCATTTTCTAGTCTTTAAAGGTGCAAGAAGCTTATTCATTCGAGATTTTTCTTCTTTTATAACATAGGTGTTTACAGCTATAAATTTTCCTCTAAGTACTAATTTGGGTGTATCTCATAAATTTTGATATAATGTGCTTTCATTTTCATTCAACTCAAAATATTTCTAATTCACCTCTGTGGTCTATGGGTTATTTATAAATGTGTTTAATTTCCAAATATTTGTGGATTTCTCCCCCCTTTTTTTTTTAGTTTAATTCCATTGAGGTCAGAGAACATACTTTGCATGATTTCAATCCTCTTAAATTTATTGAGACTTGTTTCATGGCTTTGCCTATGGTCTAGACTATGGAATGTCTCATGTGCATTTGAAAAGAATGTGTATTCTGCTACTGTTGGGTGGAGAGTTCTAGAGATGTTACTTAGGTTACAAAGGTTGATAATGTTGGTCAACTCTTCTATATCCTTGTTTTTTTTTTTTTTTGTTTGTTTTTTTCCTTTTTGTGAGGAAGATCGGCCCTGAGCTAACATCTGCCAATCCTCCTCTTTTTGCTGAGGAAGACTGGCCATGGGCTAACACCCATACCCATCTTGCTCCACTTTATATGGGATGCCGCCACAGCATGGCTTGCCAAGCGGTGTGTCGGTGTGCACCCAGGATCCGAACTGGTGAACTCTGGGCCGCCGCAGTGGAGTGTGCGCACTTAACCACTTGTGCCACCGGGCCAGCCCCTATATCCTTGTTAATTTTCCCTCTAGTTGTTCTACCCATTATTAAAAGTGGGGTGTTAAAGTCTCCAACCACTATTATTGATTGTCTATTTATCCTCTCAATTCGAAGTGTTTGCTTCATGTATTTTGGAGCTCTGTTGTTAGATGCATATACGTTTATAAAAGTTATATCTTCTTGATGGATTGGCCTTTTAACTTTATAAAATGTCCTTCTTTGACTCTAGTAGTTTTGTCTTAAAGTCTATTTTGTCTGATACTTGTATAGCCACTCAAGGTCTTTTTCTTAGTTTGCGTAGTATATCTTTCTTCATCTTTTTACTTCCAACTTATTTGTTCCTTTGAACCTAAAGTATGTCTCTTGCAGACAGCATATAGTTGGATCTTTTTTTTTTTTTAATTTTTATTTATTTATTTATTTATTTTCCCCAAAGCCCCAGTAGATAGTTGTATGTCATAGCTGCACATCCTTCTAGTTGCTGTATGTGGGACGCGGCCTCAGCATAGCCGGAGAAGCGGTGCGTTGGTACGCGCCCGGGATCCGAACCCGGGCCGCCAGCAGCAGAGCGCGTGCACTTAACTGCTAAGCCACGGGGCCGGCCCTAGTTGGATCTTCTTTTAATACAGTTGAACAATCTCTGCCTATTGACTGGAGGGTATAATCCATTCATATTAATGTTATTATTGATGTGATTCGATTTAGGTCTGCCATTTTGCTATTTGTTTTCTGTATATCTTATTTAGTTCTTTTTTCACCTCTTTACTACTTTAAAAAGTTACTTTCTTATTACTTGCTTTAGTGATTACACTATTCTTCTTAACTTATCATGATCTACTTCAGATCAGTACTAATTTCATTCCAGTAAAATGTAGAAACATTGTTCCAATACAGCTCCACTACTCTCCCATCTTTGTGCTATTACCGTCATTTATGTTATATATATATGTTAAAACACAACAATACAAGATTATTATTTTACACAACCACATGTATTTTAAAGAAGTTAAAGGGGAAAACAGTTAAGAAAAGAAAGAAGAAACAATAAACTTACAAAGTCTTTTATATTAACCTATATATTTACTATTTCTAGTACTCTTCATTTCTTCCTGTGGAGTCAAGTTACTATTTGGTGTCATTTCCTTGCTCCACTATACCTCTATTCCTTCCCTCTGTTTTGTATTATTAATGTCATATATAGCTTTAGTTATATGCCCAACACTTCAATTTTATTATTATTTTATGTAACTGTTTTTTAGATCAGTTAAGAGAAAAAAATATTTATATTGGCTTTAATAATTACTTATATAATTGTCTTTATTAATGGTCTTTAATTCTTCATGTAGATTCAAGTTACCATCTGGTATCACTTCCTTTCAGCCCGAAGAACTCCCTTTAGTATTTTTGTAAGGCAGGTCTGCTAGCAACAAATTCTCTTTCTTTATTTGCCAATGTCTTTACTTTTGCCTTCAATTCTGAAGAATGGCTTGCTAGATATAGAATTCTTAGTTGACAGCTTATTCTTTTTAGCACTTTGAATGTCATCCTACTGCCTTCTGGCTTCCATCATTTTGATGAGAAGTCAGGTGTTAATCTTATTGGGTGTTCCTTGTATGAGGTTTTTTTTTTCTTGCTGCTTTCAAGATTTCTCTTTGTCTTTCAACATTGTAACTATTATGTGTCTAGGTGTGAATCTCTTTATCTTTATCCTTCTTGGAGTTTTTTGAGCTCCTTGGATGTGTGGATTAATGTTCTTCATCAAATTTGGGAAGTTTTGGCCATCATTTCTTTTTTTGTTGTTTTTTTTGCTGGGAAAGATTCACCCTGAGCTAACATCTGTTGCCAATCTTCCTTTTTCTTTTTTTCTCCCCAAAGTCCCAGTATATAGTTGTATATTCTAGTTGTAAGTCCTTCTAGTTCTTCTATGTGAGCCGCCACCAAGCATGGCTACCGAGAGATGAGTGGTGTGCTTCTGCGACTGGGAACCGAACCCGGGCCGCCAAAGTGGAGAGCGCAGAACTTGAACCACTAGGCCATCAGGATTGGCTCCCATTCTTTTTTTCTTTTTTTTTTTTTTGTGAGGAGATCAGTCCTGTGCTAACATCTGCCAATCCTCCTCTTTTTGCTGAGGAAGACTGGTCCTGGGCTAACATCCATGCCCATCTCCCTCCACTTTATATGGGACGCCGCCACAGCACGGCTTGCCAAGCAGTGCGTTGGTGCATGCCCGGGATCCAAACCGGCGAACCCCGGGCCGCTGCAGCGGAGCGCACGCACTTAACCGCTTGGGCCACCGGGCCGGCCCCTCCATTATTGCTGAAAATACTTTTTCTGCCCCTTTCTCTTTCCTCTCCATCTAGTATCCCCATTATACATATGTTGGGATGCTTGATGGTGACCCACAGATCTCTGAGGCTCTGTTCATTTTTCTTCATTTTTAAAATTCTGTCCTCCACAAGAGACAATCCATACTGATCTATCTTCAAGTTTACTGATTCTCTTATTCTATCTCAAATTTGCTGTGGAGGTCCTCCCCTCCAGAGAATTTTTAGTTTTCATTATTGTATTTATCAACTCCAGAATTTTAATTTGATTATTTTTTATAATTTCTATCTTTACTAATATTCTCTATTTGATGAGTCATTATCATCATACTTTTATTTAACTCTGTAAAAATGGTTTTAAGTCTTTGTCTGCTATGTCCAACAGATGGGCCCCGTCAGAGACATTCCCAATGATTGCTTTTTTTTTTTTTGGGGAGGAAGATCAGCCCTGAGCTAACATCCGTGCTAATCCTCCTCTTTTTGCTGAGGAAGACCGGCTCTGAACTAACATCTATTGCCAATCCTCCCCCTTTTTTCCCTTTTTCTCCCCAAAGCCCCAGTAGATATTTGTATGTCATAGTTGCACATCCTTCTAGTTGCTGTATGTGCGACGCAGCCTCAGCATGGCCGGAGAAGCAGTGCGTCGGTGCGCACCTGGGATCCGAACCCGGGCTGCCAGTAGCGGAGCGTGCGCACTTAACCGCTAAGCCATGGGGCCGGCCCCTGATTGCTTTTTTTAATCCCATTTTTGTATCCCACCTTTTAATTTTTTGTTGTTGAAAACTGGACATTTTTAGGTAAGAAACTACAGCAACTCGAGTTGGAACAGCCCCCTTACCCAAGGGCATGGCTGTGGTTCTGTTTATGTAGTGACTTGCCTAGACCAATTTTGTGGAGTCTTTTTTTCTGTAGAGTGCAGCCACTGATATCTCTGCTCAGTTTTTATTTTTATGTCTGGCTTCCTAGGAATCACATCAGCTTAGCAGTCAGCCAATGATTTGTCTGAGGTTGTGCTTAAACATCTTAAGCCAGTAAGCCTTCCACCCTTTGCCAATGGATCTGTCTGTGGCTTGAGGAATGCATTCAAAGGTTAAGCAGTTTATAAATCTTTTCTGGCTTTTACTTTCTGTGTTCACAAGGGCTTACAATTAACCATCGATAAGTAGCTTGCCAGGGCCCTCACCAGTCTCTCTTGAGTGTGCATAGATACTTACACAAGTGTGCAACTGTCCCGAGTTCTCGGGATAAGTAGGATCTTATTAAAGCCCTCTTTGGCTGTCTTGTTCCCTGAATATCCCTGTTAAGATTCTGCCTCGTCTGCTAGTCTATTGCTTACCCAAAACTGTATCAAAACCTTGGATTAGCTGTGTGATATTGTCCTTCCTTGACTGTTTGCGATTGTTTTCAGCAACATCCCTAGGCATGGAATTTTCTGTGCTCTGCTCCAAATAAAGTCAGCCACTTTAAGCAGCAGAACTGCTGGTCCTCCCAGGCTGCCTTGCCCTTGTGGAACTTCTGCATCATGGAGCTAGGAGTTAGGGAGTGGGAGCAGCCCCAGGCTGAATCACTACAGATTCCCATTATTCTTACCGAGATTCAGTAGAAATTCTTGAATAAATGCTTCTCAATTTGTTGTGTGCCCTTGGTCAATTTCCAGCATCTTTAAATGGTTGTTTTAATAATTTTGTCCAGTTTTATTGTTGTTTTTTGGGGACAGGATTTGCCAAGCTCCTCACTCAGCCATCCCAAATGTTAAATATACTTTTATAAATGTCCACACCAATGCCTAATAATAATGGTGAGGGGAGACAGCCTTGACCTGATTCTGACTTACGGGGAAATTAGTATTCACCATTAAGTTCAATGCTGATTGCTGGTTTGAGATAAAATTTCATATTGTATCAGATATATCTTTCTCTTCTTATTTTACTAATTTCTACATTCAATCAAGAAACATTTATTCTATTCTACTATGTGTCAAACAATTGTGATATAAAAGCAAACACTATCTCTGAATTTAAGTAAGTCATCTAGTAGGGAAGCAAAACAAGTAAACAGCTACAACATAGTGTTGTAAGTGCTTTGATAAAACTATTTACAGTAAATTATGGGAACACAGGGGAAAGACACTTAAACAGATCTAAAGATAGGAATATGGGGACTAGAGAGGACTCCCTAGGGAAATTAAAGCAGACAGATGAGCCGAACCTTGAAAGATAGGTTAAGTAGGAGCTGAACAAACTTAGTTGTGGGAGTGAGAAGGTGGGTTCAAGAAGAGGGACCAATATAAAACAAGAATATTCTGGTTTTGGGAAATCCAAGTCGATTCATAAGGCTGGAGCAAGAATGTTGCATGGGGGCCAGATCAAGAATTGACATTAGAGTCATGGGAAACTATGTAAGAATTTCAAACAGAAAAGTATTATAATCATATTCATCTTTCAAAAAAGTAACTAAGGCAGCAGTGGAGGTGGAGCAAACCAAGATTATAAACAGGGAAAATAATCTGATAATAGCAGGTAAGAGAGTCCATATATATTCAAGGAAAATCACTGACAGGTCTAGAAGTTTGGAAAGAGGGGGATAAAGGGCAGGACCATATCATCACTTGGTTTCCAGTTTTGTGATTTAACAGGGTAGATGACAGAGAACATAACATCAGGAGCAGGTATGGAAGTTGGGGGAGGAGGACAAGAGTTTGGTTTGGATACAGGTTTGTGAGCCTACGGAATAACCATGTAAAAATGTTCTCAAATTTAAAAAAGTCAAGTTATAGCTGCTTCAATGCTATTAATGTCTATTTTTAGTTTTGTATTTTAAAATGGTTTTATTAAAATGTTAAGTTCAAATTATGCATATGTGTGTTTGCCTGGGCGTGTATACATATACAGAGTAAGAGTACACCCCAAAGAAAGACAGCACAAGTGATAAAGCAAGTGGACTGAAATGTTAACAACAGCTGAATCTCTGCATGTAAAGGGTGTATGATGTTCCTTGTTATTACTTTTATTTTTGCAATTTTTTGTAAGCTTGAAATTATTTCTAAATAAAAAGTAAAAAATACATCATGTGCAGTGCATGTGTTTGTTTTTGTATGTGAGAGAATGTACATGAGTTAGTGAGTGTCTGAGTGTACATGGTAGTGAATGTCATTTACATTTCTGGAAATAATACTGCAACACTTTTAAAAAACTGTTCATTTTTAAAGAGAATTTATCTACCAGAATTTATCTACTAGAGGCAGAGATCTTTAAAATAAAATCCAAACTCTTATCATGAAAAATTCGGCCCTTTTCTACTTCACCTCACCAATCTCATCTCAAGCCGCTCTTCCCCTCACTCACTATGTTCCTGCCATATTATTCAGCTTTTGAGGAACCTTCCTGCCTTAGAGCCCTCACCCTGGACGTTCCCTCTGCCTAGGCTACTCTTCTTTGCAAGGCTTGCTCCTCCCCATTCTTCAGGTATCAGCTTAAACCTTACTTCTTCAGAAAGGCCTCCTCTGATCACCCTGCCCACATGAGATCTCACTGCTCCACGTATTTGTTACTTGTATCACGGCAACCTATTTTTCCCATCCACATCAGATCCTAAAACTCCATGAAAGCAAGGCCCTTTTCTGTTTTGTTCACCAAGTATACCAAGCGCCAAGCACAATGCTCTCCATACATTTTGCATGAATGCTGAGTAAGATGTGATGAGAAGCCAACCAAAGAATTCAGTAGCTCTGATTTATAAGTCCTTATGTGTTTCTTAAACCATATTTGAGAAGACTGAAAAATGTAAACAAGAACAAACAAAACAATCTCTTACCTCCTGCAATGACAAAATGGCTTAGGGCATTTTTATTTCGGTAGACACTTAGACCAGTGTTCACTGTGCTGGGAAGAAAGGAGGAGGAAAACATGAAATTTAAAGCATACCCCATTTACCTTCCTGACTGCAATTTTCACTAAAGTGGTAGGTATTAGTTTAGAAGAGCCTACTATGTCAATCCCTGGTCCTAGTCTAGGCCCGTTTAATGTGTTCCAGACTAGTAATATGCCTATGGATTTTCTAGGGTGGACCTTCTGCTGAAGAATGAACCAAAAAACAATCAAATTTCTGGACTAAATATTCACTTAGAAATAGAAACATAAAGAAGAGTTTTGCAGAATTTCCCTTACTTAAAAACCTTGTATCTTTTTTGATATTAGTTGGTAGACATCCATCCAAGGATGCAAAGCTACAATTGGACCAATCTTTTATACAGATAGATAAGAATTCTTGAGAAAAAGGTATTATGAATCACTTTCATGTGGGTGTTCAGTTTTTATAATCCCACATGCTCGAAAGATGTGCTCCTAAAAGAAGACCCTTTGTCAAAATTCAGAAAGAACTTACTTGAATATAGTCACAAACACTGTAGTTCTCCAACTCCAGCGCCAGCCATACCGGATGAAGCCTCGCAGGGCAGCACGATGTGCAGATTGCTAAAGTTAATAAAAAGGCTGTGAGGCTCTGAGACACATTGACATTTTCCTTACTCTAAAACTGTGGTGGAGAGATGTCAGCTATGGATAAGGCAAGGACACCCAAACAGATAGAAACAACAGAAGATCTCTAGAAACATCATTTTTTAAGTATTGAAGCTTAAGCAAAAGTCCCATATGCATCCTGTTCTAGCAGGAGACAGAAAAGGAACTAGGAATTGCCAGAATTAACCAAGTAATCCATCAACTAAGTATCAACTGAGAATCTATATGGCAAACACCATGACAGATATAAAATCAGTACTAGACATGCTTTTTATATTCAAAAAATCTTGAGGAAAAGAACAATATAAAATAAAGAAGAACTGATTAAACGGTAAATTAATGGGTAAGGACTAAAGTAATAAAGATGTGC